TTAGGAATTTAGAAGTGAAAGAAAGACAGCTGCAGGAGTGAACAGTTTCTTAATGATGAGTAACTATGTCCTGAAGCTGCAGTTTTCTCTATTTTTAAGAAACTTTATTTACTTTTTTATTCAGCTCTACTAGGAATTGAACCCAGGGCCTCAAGTATGCTAGGCAAGCACTTTACCACTGAGTACCCCAACCCTGTACTTTTTAAAAAACTTTCAGTGTAATACAAGTAGATATTACTAGACAATATTTTAGAACAGTTTTCTATGAAAAAATAAAGCAAAACTTCACAACTAAATAACATTTAATGCACTATGTACAATTTTAAAAGAATGGCCAAAACTTTAGAGTATAAGTCATAGAAAAGAGTCAACAAAAAAAGAAGCAAATTGGGCCAGGGACTTAGTGATTCTACTACCTGCCTCCCAAGCCCAAGGACCCAAGTTTGGTACCAAAAAAAAAAAAAAAAAAGCAAATAGTTAATAGCACAAATTTTTTTTTCAATGAACTAAGAGGACCTAGTGGTATAAATGAAACAAATTAGCATATATATTGAGATATTTTTGAAACCACAGAATATATAATTTAGGGAATTATTAGACCTCCCTATTTCCTTTTTCTCTTTTATGTTTTCTTTAACATTTAATAGAAACTATGTACAATAGATTTTACTGTATTGTGCATACAATAGCCACTTCAGGAATTTATATAGAAGGAAGACAGAGGGTTAAGTGGGGCCCAATCCTGTGGGATATTTTCTCAGGGCATGGAAGTCAGAGTTCAGCTAGGAAAAGGATTCAGACTACCTAAAGTTTTCTTAAAAGCATCATTTTAAAATTAGTTTCTCTTTTCTCAGTTTTACCTATCTTTATTCTACCTTACTTTGACAGTTTCCAGATATACAGACCCTTCATGGTGACTATTAAGGCCTTCCTCTTGCTACCTGCCTGTGTCTGCCTCTTCCCTTGCTTCCAAAGTTTCTCCTCACCTTGACATTGTTGGGTTTTGTTTCCCTGTAGTGGGTATGAATGTGGTGGTGGTGATAGAGCATTGCTGAGAGGAAGGGTTTTCAGCTAACCCTGGCACCAGTATTTAACAAATCTCTAAAGACCACATTGGCTTATTTTGAAACTTCAAGAACAAAACCCTGATCACTTGGAAAATATGCAACTGGGATCTCATCTTATGAAATAGCTTTTGCAGAGCAAAAGAAATAAACAGTGAAGAGACAACCAATAAAGTGAGAAAACTTTTGCCAGCTGTTCCTCAGACAAAAGACTAACATCAAGACTAAAGAACTGAAAAAAAACAGACACCTGAATGTAAAGACCCAGTCCAAAAATGAATATCTAAGACGAATACAGATTTCTAGATGAAGAAATACAAATAGCAAATAAACATATGAAAAGATGTTCAACATCACTGGTTACTCAAGAGATGCAAATTAAAATGCCGGACCAGGGATTTAGCTCAGTGGTTCCATGCCTGCCTTGCCAGTGCAAGGTCCTGAGTTCAATCCCGGTACCAAAAAGAAACAATGCTAAGAGTCCATCTCACTCCAGAAAGAATATCCATTATCAAGAAATCAATCAGTAACAAATGTTGGCAAGGATGTGGGGAGAGAGGAATACTTCTCTGTTGTTGGTGGGAGTGTAGACTGGAACAACCACTGTGGAGATTCCTCAAAAAACTAAAAAGAGGTTCCATTTGACCCAGCTATTCTCCTCTTGATATCTTCCCAAAACAATCAAAAGCATACCGCAGTGATATAAGTGCACCTATGTTTATAGCAGTACAGTTTGTAATAGCTAAATCTTGGAAACCAAATGTTCATCAACTGATGAGTGAATAAAGATTTTTTTATGCAACAGAGTCCTAAGCCATAAAGAAGGATAAACGAGACATTTCTAGCTAAATGGATGTACCTTGAGACTATGCTCAAGTGAAAGAAATCAGACCCTTGTAGATATCACATTGTCTCTCTGGTGTGAGAGACTGAAAGTAAATAAAAACCAAGATGTATAATATTGTGAAGTAGGAAGAAATTGTCCAGACAGGGAGGGGAACTACAGAGAGGGGAGGAGGGAAGGAAGAAAGGGAAAAGAAAAAATGGGAAAAGAAGGGTGAAATGGAAACAAAGCTCTGTAAGTGGGAGGAGGGGTTGAAGGGAGTGGAGAGGAAAGGAGAAAAATAGAAATCAAGATTATGATGCACAAGCACAAATTCCCTGTGATGAATATGATCATTATGTATATCTAAATTCTATCAAAAAATTGAACAAATCTTTTAGTTGTAAAATTAAATCCATTTACCCTCAAAGTTATTGATAAGGAGCCGCTCCTGTGATACCGCTAGTTTTTCTCTTGTTTCCATGCACCTTTCTTGTTCATCTTCACGTTTTTTTTGTTTTCTATGTAGATAGTGTTTTCTTTTTTGGTATGTCTACTAGTGAGTTTTATTCTTTGCCACCTATTTGCTTGTAGTGCAGAACCTCCCCCCTTTTGGTACCAGCATTTGAACTCGGGACCTTGACACTTGTGAGGGCCTGAGCTAAATCCCCAGTGTGCAGGACTTCCTATGCATTTTTGTAAGACTGGCCTTGTGTTGGTGAATTTTCTGTTTTTGCTTGTGGAAAAGACTATTTCTCCTTCATTTCTGAAGAGTATCTCTGGTGGGTATGCTATTCCTATTTAATAGTTTTTTTTTTTCCTTGCAGAACTTTGAATATATCGTCTCATTCCAGCCTATAAAGTTTCTGCTGAGAAATCTGCTGTTAGTCCAATGTCCCCATTGGACTACATGTGACTTGATGTTTTTCCCTTGCTGGTTTTAGAATTCTCTTTGTCTTATATTTTTAATTGACTTACTATAATATTCTTTAAAAGGGACCTTTTTTGCTGCATGCATCTGAGATCCTTTGAGTTTTCTGAAGCTGGATATGCAATCTTTCCCAGGATTTGGAATGTTTTCAGCTATTTTTTTTAGATTTTTAAAAACATTCCTTTTCCTTTTCTCCTGACATTCACATGTTACAAGTATTTGTTAAATGGTGGTGTGACTCAAAACGAACCAACTTCCCTCCCTCCCTTCTCTCTCCTCCTCCTCCTCCTTCCTCTTTCTTTTTCTCCTGCGTATTTCAGAAGAACTGTCTTTAAGCTCAGAAGTTGTTTCCTTTGTTTGGCTTAGTCTGTTGTCTGAATTTATTCTTCAGGTCACTTATTGAATTCTTCAGCTTGAAGAGTTCTGTTCTTTTCAGTAATCTCCATCTCTGTTAAATTTCATATTTGTATCGTGAATTTTTTCCTACTTTTATTGAATTATGTGTATCATTGAATTTCTTTAAAGTCATTTGAATTATTTTCAGGCAATCTGTCAGTTTCTTTTTCTTTGGGATCTGTTGCTACAGAACTGCTGTGCTCCTTTGGTCTTATTGCCTTGCTTTTCCACCCTGTGTCTCTCTGTCAGTGTTTGCACATCTGGTGGGTCGGCTGCCTCTATCAGTGTCACAGGGCGGCTTTTACAGTAAGAGACGCTCCTCGAGATGTGCTCTGAGATAACCGTGGGCATGCTGCATTGGTCTTTGCCTCAGGTAGACACAGGAGTGTCGCGTCCATTTATCTTCTCAGCTCTGGTCATTGTGGGCGCTGCCTGCGGGTGTCTCAGTGGCCCGTGCTGCTGGCTGTGTGGGATTGCTTTGCCAGCTAGGATGCAGCCCTCTTAAGCAGGGTGGGTTTGTTAGTGGCTCATGCTGTGGGTGTGGGGCCCCTGTTAGTTTTCAAGGTCTGTGCAGGGGTGGGGTTGCTCTGGAAGGCGCAGGCAGGTGCACTGTCTGTCAGCGTCTGAGGACGATGTGGGGCCAGGCTGCCCTGGTGGCCAGTGCCAGGTTCTCAACATCTGAGGGTTGTGCGGGTCCCTCTGGAGGGCCTTGGGTGGGCTGCCTGGCTGCTGCTTGTGGCTGTGGGAAGGTGAGAGGTTGGGAGGCTCTGCCTGGCTCCTCCCCAGGACCTGGGCAGTGGAGGCACTCGAGGCAGGCCACCGATTGCTCCCAGGGCTGTGAGAAAGTGAGCAGCTGGGGCCACCGAGCAGTGTGTACGGCCAGGTTGGCTGAGATGCCAGAGCAGCTGCCCAGCTGTTTCTCAGGACCCAGTGGGCAGAGTCACAGGCAGGTGCCCCACAGTCAACCATTGGGAGGACTGGACTGGGGGGTTGTGACCGGAGCTGGCCTCTCTCTGGAGCAGTGTGGCAATGAAGGTCCTCATAGCTTCCCTCTGGGGTAAGGCTGTGAGGCCGCAGGCTTTTCCGGAGGCAAATACTGCAGGTGTCTGTGGCATTCAGGGGAGCTCTGGAGGCCTCCTACTAACCTTCTCCACTCTGCGTCCAAGGTCGACCTCAGCAGAAGAAATGGCAGGGTGGCTGCTGTGTGCGTGGTTCCCTTCTGTATAAATTCACCAGGCCCCTCGCTCTGCACCCTCCTCTGCCACCTCTGCGCTTTGCTGCTGCTGTCCTCAAGCACACCAGTGGGATACTCTTTGCTTGTTTGGGGCCTTGTTGTGGAGAGACGTGCACCAGGCACCACTAATCAACCATCTCGCCAACATCTTTGTCTTCGTATTTCCCACTTACTTTCACTGAGATTTGGGAGTGGAGCCCGGAAATTTCATGTCACTAGCTGTGGAAGGGTCTTTGTTTCTGCCATGAAGTTAAGGTTGCAATTTTTAAAAATTGCTTCTTTTAATGTAGAATACTTAGTTGGCAAATCACTTATTTTATAACATCTCTTCAGAGATCTAAGCATAGAACTTTTTCAGAAGGGCTAACTGATAATAACATTATAAGGAAAATACCTGGTTACCAAGAGTTGCTAACAACTGTCTTAGCCAAGTCAGAGCCCCAAGTGTGTGACTAAGAGTAGCCATAGGATAGACTAGATTGTGATGCAATAAGCAGCCACCACCCAGCAGTCTCGGGCTTAGTGACCCGAGCCAGTTGCTGGACTGTTTATCCATGCCATATGGCAGGCAGGACATGGGTCCTTTCCATGTCATCTTCACTCTGGGACCCAGCAGAGGGAGCAGACCTCTCGGGGATGTTGCTCAGCTAAGAGGGAGGGAAAGACAGAGAGCTGGTGAAGGACAAGCTGGTCCTTCATGCCTCTGCCCACCAAAGTAGGACACAAGGCTGTCCTGACTCGGCAGGACAGTGATGCATAGCAGGGCAGCAACTCTTTTCAGCAGTAACAGGACCTCCCGCAGTAATGTGTGTCTTGGATTTTAGGTGCACATGGACACTACAATGTGCGGGCCGCTCATCTCTCCAGCCCACATCAACACCGAAATATTCACGGTGCTTCAGCAAAGGATGGGAATAGTTGATCAGACCAGCTCCCTGAGGGATGACCTAATAATGCTGGGCTGTGGGGACAGAAGGTAACAGAAATGAACCATCTCTGTGCGGTGAGGGACAAGTAGTCACAATGATTTGGCAGATGAGCTACGGATGTAGGATGTAGCTAGGGATGTAGGGATGAGCTAGGGATGTGGGAAAGCATTGAAGATCTTGAACATTAGTGAGAGGATATTTGTGAGACAGACTTGTCATTCTGTGATAGTGGCCACCACCAGTTCTCTGTAGTTATTTCGAATGTGTTAATTAGATTGACAACATAAATATTCTATACACCTTCAACATGAGATTAAAAATGCGCAATTTTTCATATAATTAAACATTTTTGCTGCTTATTTTAAAATGTTATGTCATATGGTCTTTACTTTTTTCTCCCATATTATATTTTTTGTTTTGCTTTGTTTTTGTACTGGGGATCAAACTCAGGTCCTTGCTCTTGGAAGCCACTGAGCTAAATCCCCAGACTTTTTTTTTTTTGGTACTGAGGATCGAACTCAAGTCCTTGCTTGCACTTGCAAGGCAGTTGCCAGAACCCCTGAGCTAAATCCCCAGCCCTCCCATGTTTATTATAAACTAAAAGACAGACTTCATAATTAGAATGAGGTACTCAACTGTTTTTGCCCCTGGCATTGCTAGGAAGTTGTTGGCTTTAAACGTTGGGTTGTCTGTGGCCTGGGGAATCTGGGTGCTTATGTAGTGATATGGAATTTGTTGGTGCATTAAAAAAAATTCTCTGCCTCATTAAGACATTAACACTGTTCAGTTGCTATTAGAATATGGAATAAGTATATTTAATGATTAGATTTGGTAAACTGGGCATGGTGGCGCATGCCTGTAATCCCAGCACTCACGAGGCTGAGGCAGGCAGATCTCTGCATTTTTAAGGCTGGCCTGGGCTACATAGCAAGACACTGTTCGAGAAAACCAAAGAAAAAATTTTTAAAAGAAATTGATGCAAATGTTGGGTCTGTTGGTAAAACAATAGGAATGTTTGACTTTGTTTTAAACTTTTCTGAAATCATATGCATATATTGCCTCCATCCTAACTTTAATTCTTAGTTCACTCTTATAGAATTGATGTTTAACATGTCGTGACATACGGAAGAAAGTTTACAAAAAGTCCACCTTGACATAAACAGCACTGTAAAGTCAGTGCTCTTCTGCCCCCATTGAACTCCTGCTCTCTGTCCTTAGTGCCGTGTTTGAGTTTGGAGAGGCGGATGCACACTTGTTCATGAAGGCTTTAACTTAGTTTTTATTTACTTTTTTGAATTTAGTTTTATTTTTAATTGACCAGTTGTATGGATTTGTGGATATTTTAAGTGAAACAGAGTCTCGCAGCTCAGCTGGAACCTGCTGTTTGAAGTGGCCCAGGCAGAAGAGCACCAGGGAGGGGTCAGACTCCCCACTGCGGGGCTGAATTGCAAGCTCAGGGCTCCAGGGACACCGCCTTGTGTGAAAGTTGGGAGTGTTTTTAGTCCTTACCCTGAGGCCATACTCACACGGGAGGTAGGAGCACACAGAGACAGTCTGGGACCTCCACTTGGGTTTCCTGTGGGAAGCTCTCTCTTCTGGGTCTGAAGTGAGGAGGTCATCCTGTGACTGAGAGGTGGTCACTTTTATACGTTTGTGGGCAAATATGACTGCAGCAGGAAAGCAGGAGCTGGGACTGTTAGGCAGAAAAGTTGTCTCGGGGTTTTTGCCTCTGGCCCCAGATGGAGCCTCTCCTGTGGGGCAGAGGGTTAAAAACTGTCAGGTGTGGCTGAGCGCTGCTTCTGGTATGAGAAAATTAAACATGTTTAAAATGATTTCTGGGCCAAGAGAAAATCATGAGCCCTGACCACAGTGGGGTACACTAACCTTATGATACACGTATACACCGTGGAATGATTTAAGTCAAGATAAGTAACGTCTCTACACCTCACATACTCATCTCTGTGGTAAAACCATTTAAAATCTCTCTTTACAATTTAAAAATACCGTACGCAATACATAATTTCTAACTATAGCCACCATATTGCACAGTGGAGCATCGGAACTTATTCCTCTATTGCAATAAAAAATTCAGACTGAGGGGCTAGGGATGGAGCTCAGTAAGTGTTTGCCTAGTATGCCGAGGTCCTATTCCAGGTCTATCCCGACTACAAAGGAAGGAAGGAGAGGAATTCCTCCTAACTGAAAATTTGTACAGTGCACACAGCTAATCAGGTTGGAGTTGACTCTTGTGTAAGGGTCCAATCCTTTTGCATATGGACAATCTGTTTTTCTAGAACCATGTAATGAAGAGATTGTCCTTTCACCACTGTGCGTTCTTGTACCTTTGTTGAAAATCATTTGAACGTAAACACATAGGTTTACTTCTGCACTGTCTGTCCGATTCCAGCAGGTGATGTATTTTTTTATACCAGTACCATGCTATTTTGATTAGTTCTGTGACATAGGTTGAAATAGGTAGTATGATGTTTTTAGCTGTGTTTTTGTTCTAGACTTCTTTGGCTATTGTGGGTTTTTTGTTATCCATAAGAATTTTAGGATTTTTTTTATCTGTGAAAAGTGCTATTGGAATTTGAATGGGGATGCATTGACTGTGTATTGTTTTGGGTAGGATGGACATTTTAACAATTCCAGTCACAATCCTGAGAAATCTTTCCACTTAATCTGTGTCAATCTTAATTTCTTTCATTAGTGTTTTATAGTTTTAGAGTATAGATCTTTTATCTCTTTGGTTAAATTTATTCTTAATTTTTAATTTTTAATTTTAATTGAGTTTATTGGTACACTTTAGGTATACAGTACAGTTACATTCATTATTGGGATCTTGCACCTTTACATGACAGGTCTTAGTTATTCTTAATTTTTTAAAAAATTCTGTAGCATTTGGGAATTGTTTTCCTAGTTTCCTTTTCAAGTAGTTTAATGTTATGTAGAAATACAACTGAGTTTTGTATGTCAATATTTTATTTTTGTATGTTAATTTTTATCTTGCATCTTTACTGAATTTATTAGTTTTTTCGGGGGGAGTCTTCAGTGTTTTCTACATATAATATCATGTTTTAGAAGCTAGGCATGGTGGCACATGCCTGTAATCCCAGCATTTGGGAGGCTGAGACAAGAGGATCCCTGCAAGTTTGAGGCCAGCCTGGCTACAGACTGAGTTCAAGGCCACCCTGGGCTACATAGCAAGACCCTGTCTAAAAAAAAAAAAAAAAAAAAAAAAAAAAATGGTGTCTTTAGCAAAATAAGATAATTGCACTTCTTCCTTTCTGATCTGGAGGCCTTTCGTTTCTTTTTCATGCCTGATATTCTGGCTAGGACCGCTAGCACTAGATTGAATAGTAAGTTGTGAATAGACACCTTTGCCTTTTTCCTGATCTTAGACAAGAGCTTTCAACTTTGCACCATTAAGTATGTTGGCTGTGAGCTTGTATTGAAGAACATACCTTCTCTTTACAATTTGTGGAAAGTCTTTATCATGAAAGGATGTTGGATTTTGTCAAATGCTTTTTCTGCTGATAGTTGAGCTTCTGACCAGGAAGCTAAATGATGCAGCAAATGGTAGGCCTCTGGCAGCCTGAAGAGGAGGTCAGAGCAGCTCTCCCAGGCCTCTTCCCAGCTCACTCCGCTGAAGACCAGAAGCTGTCTGCAGCAGCAGTTGGCCGAGTACACTAGCAAGCTCCTTCCAGGGAGGAACTGGGAGCTTTGAGCGTTAGCACTTTCTGTGCCTTGATCTCAGGCTGTTGAGCTCCTGGAAGTGAGTGTGTACCTGAAGTAAAACTGCGTTTTTTTTTTGTGCTCTAGGGAGATAGCTATTCCTGTTCCTTCTTGGGGCCAGGTGAAATAATAGCCAAACCACACGGAACCCGAGTCAGGGTGCTGTGGTTAGTCTGGACTCCCTCAAGGACAAGCTGGCCTTGGGGTTTCTCTCCAGCTGTATGGTACAGCATCTCAGGAGGCATTTGTGCCTGCTTATGCCTCGTCTTTTCCTACCCATTTGATGTGGCTATTTTTTCAGGCAACCACTGTGTCTCTTACAACTCATTTCTGACTTTGTCTCAGAGGGAGCTGGTTTGTGTACGGGTCTTTATTTCGTGTATCTGTGGGTGGTGGAGAATGAGCCTCGTCTACCATGTTGTTGATGCAACTGTCAAATTCTTCTAATTAGAAAGGCTACCCGGACTCTGTAGCTGGGGTCACCATAGTGAAATTGCATTGTGTAGTACTGATCTTTGGGGTCTTTGTTCAGAGGTCAGTTGGAAACTCCAAACTATTTAGAAGACTCTGCCAACCAGAAAGGCATTCGTCCTATCCCGAGTGAAGTCATCCATCCAGGAAAAACAGATGTTTTATGGCAGAACTGTGAGTTTCTGGTGAATCGAATGTGCCATCTAGAAAGCCTCATCCAGTCCTTGAAGATGAACATCTTCCGTCTGCAAGTGGAGAAGGATTTGAATCCACAGAAAACAGGTACGGGGGAAGAGTCCCCAGAAGTATGGTCCTGTGTGAGTGCTCGATGAGTTATAATTCTTTCCCTTTTCCCTCTTGTCTCCTGCCGAATGCTACTCCGTGGCATCTGGTAGCTTTTCTGAAGGATCGACTGAATATAATACAGGAAGAGCATTCCAGAGACCTGAAGCTGCTGCATCTTGAAGTGATGAACTTGTGTCAGCAACTGAGAGATGTGAAAGAGGAGGAGGACAAGGCGCGGGATGCAGTGCAAAGATCGGCCGCCACTCTGGAAATCGCCTCAGAGACAGGTTTGAGTGTAGAGTGCTAGAGTACAAACTTCCGGGGGCAGTGAGCCCCTTAGACCGACTCTCAGGAATAGGTGGCATTGGACATTTTGCTGCATTGATAATGCAGGGCGCTGTGTGCCGTCAGCCCCTAGTTGTTTAGTGCCCTTACCCTGGATGGGAACAGTGCACCAGAGGTATGAGGCAGAGTCCGTGTTCCTTTAGAGCTTTTTGTTGGCTGGAACAATGATGAACAGGAAAAAGTACGAGTGTAGAAAACGTTCCAGGAGGAGAGGACAAGAGGTGGGCATTGCAGAATAAGGGCCTTGAGTTGAGAGTGTTTGAGAGTGGAGGATGCTCCCTGGGGTGTGGGTCAGGTCGGCACAGGAAGGAGGTGGGACTTGGGCTGGACCTTTAGGAAATACAGTGGAGAGGTAAGGGCATTTCAAGGAGCACCACGGGGGCAATGGAAAGTACGGACTACCGGGAAGAGTAACTTAATACACAGCTTTTCTCCCATGGCCTGTATTATTGGACATGTTATTTTGCAAGGCCTTCTGAAGTAGGGTGCTATGGTAATTCAAGTGAAAGGACTTGTTTTTCTGGTAGAGTATTGGAGCTTGGAGAGAGGTCATCTGTCCAAGACCACCACCTGTCTTCTTCCTGTAACCTAGGTTTTCTCACGGGATGTAGTCAGAGTGAGATACGTAAACCAGCCTGACAGGAGCCAGACAGGGCCGATCCTGCGGGAGTGATCGAGGTTTCTGACATAGAGGGGACTGAATGCGAACCTGTGGGGAAGCAGGCGTGGTGGTGTCAGAGCGCGCTGTCTGTGAGGGCAGCCTGAGGCCACAAGGGGGCCGAACAGTCTGACCCAGGATGGGGAGTTTGGAAAGGAAAGGGGTATTTTATGAAGAAAGATGTTTTAGACTGTGCTACTGGGTGGGGACTGAGAATAGGAAAGCAGTGCTGTGGGTTTACATCTGCGATTGTGGCGTCATTAACAATAAAAAAGAGAATAGGTAATGAAAGCTGTGTTGTCTTTCCTTAGTTCCTCAGCATAAATAGCTAGAAGAAACCGTTCTTTAAAAAATAAGGATGTACCCTGTAAGAAAAATATCTGTCATTTACCACCTTGTCTTCTGATTATTGAATTTTGATGGGAAGTAGATATGATTAATCATGATTTATGATCCCAGAGGTGAAATGATAGGAGCCATTAATCAAAGAAATAAAATGACTCTCTTTAAAGCCATCTCACTGTTATATTAATTCAGATTTACAATACTAAGAAACATTTGCAACCATGTGAAAATGGCTTTTATAGGTTGCCAAAAGAAAGCCTAGATTTGAACTGACATACCTAGACAATTTCTTTCTGTCATTTTAAATTATTTAGAACTTCTGTTTTTAAAAGAATGCAGCTCTGATTGAAGAGGAGTTAAAGACTACAAAACGTAAAATGAACCTTAAAATTCAGGAGGTAAGACAAAAGAATACTAGAGGGTCGGGTGGCATTGGAACTGAAGAAGTGACATAAGAAACTAAAAAAAGAACCAGTAGAGTTTTTGAAGGAGAAAATATATGACTCTATCATAGAAAGACTAAAAATATGGCACATGTGATCCAAGTGAAAATACTTGCCCTCATGTTAAATTAAAGACTTCCTTGTTCCTGAATATTGTAAAACTAGAGATACAGCAAAGGCCCTCTGAGCCAGCTGGGAAATCAGTCTCGTCCTGTTGCTCTTATTCATGTGGGCGCCTTCACCAGAGGCCTTTTAATGTAATTGTGTTTAAGATGAAAAGCATTTGATAAGCCTGCTCATCTCCTTTTACCGTGAAACCTTCATTGCAGCCTAGGTTTTGGAGTTAGAGGTGAGGGGCCGCACGAAGCTGTTGGACTAAAAGTCAGCAGCGGAAAACAGAGCAAGAGTCAGAGCAGCTTCTTTCTCTGCGTGTCTGACAGTGGCCCGTACACCGCAGCGTCCCAGGCAGAGCTGGAACCAGCTAGCATCAGTGCAAATCAAAATGTCAAATTACTTTCAGAAGACTTTTTCCTATAAGCCAGAGAGGTACTCATGCTTCTTAGGAAATTTCTCATGAAAAACTTTTTAAAATTTTAATTGTACTGCTGAAGGTAGTAAACATTGGTATCTGGAAAATTCTCTTATGTAGAGAAATTTACTCAATTTAATGAAAGCATAATTGTTCATAGAACATTTTAAAATTTCAGATAGGTAAACTCAATAAAAAGAAAAAAAATAAAATTTCAGATATGTTCATGGACTGTCTTTTAGAGAAGTTTTAGGTTTATAGAAAAATTGTGGAGAAAACAGACTTCTGTACCTTCTGTTAATGATGCTTTAGAAACTAACACCTCAGTCGTGTAATTATCAGTTTCTTTTCATGAACACTTTGTGTGTGATTATATGCAAGAGCGGCAAGTGCTTCAAGTTACCATTTTAAAAAAAGCTTAAATTCCTTAAAACTCATAAGAATGATTTAAAAAACCAGTGAAATGTTTGCTTTAATGGCTGATTTATAGACTGAACACGTTTGACCGTGATGTCACTGCAGTACAAATTAGGCAGTTTTGTGAGTAAGAACTGAAACCTCCAGGAACAAATTATATCTTGATCATATTCTACTGCATACTTGATTCAGAGCTTAGAAAAGTGCTCTGAGGTGCTCCTTACAATGAAGTAATTGCAATCTGATACAGAAGCCTGAGGCAGACAGAGCCCCAATGAGAACTCTGACTCACTCTTCTGTACAGTTGTAATACTGAACCTGTCATTGGAAGAAAAGGGATTTCTAAGCTTGAGGAAGTAAAATTATATAAATCTCAATAGATTTGACCACATGAAAACTTAAAACTTTTACATGTAAAAAGCAAAACTAGTATTTTTAAAAGTAAGCAAAAGTTGGTCATTTTCCCTTTTAAAGAATTTAAAACTGACTTTTAAAAAGACCTAAAAAAAAAAAATGGGTAAGGAATAAAAGCATTGACAGTTCAGAAAGAGTTGAAGGGCTAATAACCATATTGGAAGATGTTTAATCTTGCTACGAGCCAAAGAAACGCAGAAATATTAAGGTGTCATTTTTCATTTTTTACATTAGGAATGATTTAAGAGAATGACAACACATAGTGCTGTGAGGTTTATTCAAATACAATTGATATGTTAATATCACAAAGAAAATGACAATGTTTCAGAGGTAACTTTAACCTAGTAAATTCTTATAGGAACTTGTCCTAAGGAAATAATCGAAAAATAATAGAAGATTTTTTTCATGAGCATGTTCAGGAGAATAGTATTTTAGAATGGTGAAAAAGAAAAACTTTCATGTTCAGTGTCAGTGATATTATTAGGAAAATCAGATGATTATGATGATGAAAATCAGATATTGTTAAGAAAATCCAAGATGAGCCATCTTGTAACATTTCATACTGATACATATTTTACCTTTTTTTGATTTTTAAAGCCTATTTTAATTATGAAATATATCAATAGAGGAAACATTAAAAATATATCCAATAATTATAAATATGTCCTTTTCTTTCACTTCAACATTACTTCATCAAAGAAGTAGCATTCTCAACAATTCCTGTTTTAAGCTAGAAGTGATCTCTTCCCCATCATAATGAAACTTTTCTATTTTTGTATAGTTCATTTTACAATCTTTTTACTGATAAAAATAGGTTATTGTACACCTGGAATGGAAAAAATTGTATTTTGCTACTTCACCACCACTCTGCACTTCTGACTCTGGGTCTCCTCTAGCAGACTGGTCGGACGCTGTCTGCCTTGGGGTGAGGTCAGACCCCCCCCATACAGGGCTCTGCCCCTCAAGACTGCTCCCCACTTCCACTTCAGATGCCAGCACCCCATGACCAGAGTGGTTCACAGAACTCAGGGAAACGTTTTTTGTATGTTTTAATCTGAATTACAGCATTTAGGAGGTGTTGTTTTGCAGCTGCCTGGTATTTTGATTTTTGGGGGTGCAAACAAGTGGTACACGAAATGAATTTCATTTTGGTGCACTGCTACGTGGATATGAGTTGCTAGGTTAATGTCATCCCCATTACCTCCCTTTCTGTTTGCTCACCTTCGCCCAGCCCTTTTCCCAGTCTCTCAAAGTCTACCTTGGTGTTTTCAGGGAAACTCTTCTCTTACATTTACACATTAATTTTAAGGATACCTGCTGAGCACCCTACATCTGAACATCCAAACTTCGCAGTACTCCCAATTCTGAGATTTACTGAGCACTATGGAGGTGGTCAAAAAGTTTCAGATTTCCGGGGACCCGCCTGGAAGATATTTAATTTGCAGTCCGTGCACATAATAAAATCCAAAAAAACCGCGAAGTCTGAAGCACTGTTTGTCCTGAGCATTTCAGTAAGAGAGTCAACCTGTGTTACCAAGGACACGGATGAACAGACAGCTAGCAGAAACGGCAAAGCACGCGGAAGAGGGAGGAGTCCTGCTGTCCTGGCGCCCCTCTCCTGGAAGGCCCGTGCTCAGCCTTGTGAAAGCTCTCCACGCTCAACCCGCTTTGGCTTTCCGGAGGATTCAGCCCTTAGGCTTGCTTGTGCTATTGCAGCTCCGCCTGTACAGGTGGTCGGTGGGGCTGAAAGCCCCAGCCCCACCCACCCAAGGAATGACACTGGCCTGGAGATTCCGGGGCTGAAAGGGGCCAGGAGCCAGGGGCAGGCGTCCAATAGGTGTTTATTGTGTCGCAGAATCACAGAACCCCCAATTCTTCGTGTCAGATTTGCCTTCTGCTCAGTTACTGAATTATTTGTTTAGAACTTTCAATTCCAAAACAATTGAAAGAGCATTTAGAGGTATTTTATAGAACTGCAGGATTAAAAAACGATGAAATGCAAATATAAAAAAATAAGCCAGAAATATGGAAAATACCTACTAAGACATGATGCTGGTGGTTTTCAGACTTTTTAATGACAATCCATTATGACTTATTTTTACACTGCAACACCAAATGTGTGTGTGTGGGGGTGTGTGTGCAAACATTTTATGTAGCAGTGCTTTCCTTTACTGTTTACTCTGCATTCTTCTGTTCTCTCCTACTCTTTTCCTTTTCCTGAGTGCTGCTTGCAGCTTGCTAGTACATCTTCATCCCAAATTTGGGCAGCGGACGTAAACATTAGGAAGATGAGGGCAGCAAGCTTGACTCTACCCCTTGGCGAGGAAGAATGCGTGTTTCTGAGTAGCCGTAAATGAATGGAGGACATAGGAGGGAGGCAGCGTGGCTGGCAAACTCATCACGCTGACGTTGATCTTTGTTAAACTGGTGCAGTGTTTGCCTCACCTAACCACAGTGTCATTCTGTAGCTCAGGAGAAGCACTTCAGGGAATCTCTTGAGAAATTGGGATCAGCTATGCTCCTTAAAATACAAGAAATGGGATCCACAGTGGAGGGGGAACAGAAACAGGTAGAAGATTTCCTTTCCTTAAATTTTTAAAAAAGTAAAACCAAAGCAAAAGGCTAAAGTTTTAGTTATAAACTTAGAATTTTGCTAATTTGCTTTAGATTTATTAGGTGCTTTTCTCTAATAGCCTATTAACATTCTTAATACAGTTTTTAAAATTTTAGTGCAAAATAAAAAAACTGGCTCTACTCTACTGTTACTCATTCTAGCGGTCTTCATTTATGAATGAGACAGCTAGGGACCAGAGAAGTGTTTGTGTCAGGCTGTTTAGAGATGCACTCTCAGCTCTTGGTACAGCGTCCTCCTTACTCTGTACATGTGTTTGCTACAGGCCTTGATTTGGAAGGCAACACCCTCACCTATATGTGTGACCTGGACAGAAAATAAAGACTGAACTGAACTAACACTTGAGGCCAAGAATATTAAGCAAAGCAATCAGGAGCATATTTACACAGCAAACTTCAATTTTTTAAATTTAAATTAGCTAAAATTAAAGCAAAAGATTCAGATCCTCCGTGATATGATGAGTTCCAATTCACATGCTCGGTAGCCTCAGAGTGGCTTGCGAGTGTCGTGCTCAAGAGTGCAGGGAATGCTGCTATACTCCCCACATCGTGTTGAGGTCTCTTTTCCCCTCAGTGACACGAAGTTTGGAAATTCTGTAAAGCCATTTACCACGAATCATTACCTTACAGAAAAGAAGTTTTTCTTATATAATTTCAGGTGCACATTTTGCAGCAAAACTGCCTGGCCTTGCGCAGTTCCATACAGAGCACCCAAGAACTACTGGCACAGGAGCAGCAAAGAAAGGGAGAGTTGGAGACTGCTACCTCACAGCTCAAGACTGACCTGAGTGAGAACATAGCTGCTGGAAGTCACTTTTGCTAGTGCTTTGAGAGTTCATGTAACAGCTCTTTGGGGCCCAGGTTCTTGTAGTAGCCAGGGTTCTTGTATTTCTCACAGTCCTGAAGGTAAAACATTGCTGATTTCTGTTCTAACTGTAGCACTGCAACAAACATGAATGTCGGTATCCAAAAAAATGGCCTCTTGGTTGTAAACTATTTTAGTCCCTCTTCCCATGCTTATTGAGGTGTGGATTTGGGAACATTTGATTTCTAGACATCTGGCTTAAATATGAGATAAACAAAAGTCAGGGAGTAAACTTTTAACTCTGGCTAACTTACTGATTTTGTCATTCATCGTGTCAGACTCCAGTCTTCAGAGCATCCACATATCTTGACTAACTTGTGGAGATGGGTATGTAAGGGACCTTGGTGAGAGCCTAGACTCCTCTGTTAACCAACAGAGTCCTCAGAGGTGACATGGCCAGGAAAGGGGCGGGGTCCCGGGATCACATCCGGGTGCTCGGAGTCCATCTTACTACTGCTTTGTTACATCATTTTATTATATTTCAAGGCGGTTGCAGTGCAGAGCTTGCAGGCTTATGTAACTAGCGCTGCATTATTTGCACACAGGTTTCACATAAATTAGTGCTCAAAGCTCCATAGCCGTGCAGAGTTACAAGAGGAAGAAATGGCAAAGTGAAGCCTAAACCTGGCTCTTCTAACTCCAAGCTTAGTGTTGCTTTCGTTTCACCGTTTCTACTCTGGTTATGCTAAGGCAGGGGATACCAAAAAGGAAATGAAAAGTGCTGTGTACAAAATATGGAAGAAAGAGTAAACTGTTCAGTGTTGATTTAGATTGCTTTTGCAAAAAATAGTGGACTCATTTTCCTTATAGTTGTTGGGTAGTGATTTACTATTGAAATTCTCACTGCTAGTGTCCCGGGATAACTTTGTCATCTTCTGATGATAAGCCTACAAAATGGTGTTACATTTTATGATGCTTCCACACATGATCTTGTTTGAATCTTGTCAGAAAGATAGGGAAATAAACCCACTAGATAGAAGAATACAAAGATCTAGATGGGCTGTGCCCATGACCCTGTCTTAATTACTTTTCTTGTTGCTGAGACAAAATATCTGACACCCACAGTTAAAGGAGGAAGGCTTTATTGTAGCTCACAGTTGTAGAGGTTTCCCTTCATAGTTGGCTGGCTCCGAGGCAGTGCTGCATGGCAGAGGGCATCACAGAGGAGAAACGGTCCATGGCATGGAAGACAGGAGGCAGCAAAGCAGCAGCAGTGAAGTGGTAGCAAATAGCAAGCGACAACAGCCCCTCTTCTGTCCCTTTATTATATTGAGGCCACACACCCTCAGGGCTGCTAGCACTCACACCCTGCATGGGCCTTTACTGTGTGTGGTAGAAGATCCCTACACAAAACGTTTAAGTGTGACCTTGTGTGCAAGTGACTGTGAGCTAGTGTCTTTGATAATTCCATAACTTAATTTCCAGTTTATAAAAATATGATAAAAACACGTAGGACAAGGATACTTAGGTTCATCTTGTTTTCCCCAAAAGATATTGTCTATAAAAATTAAAGCTTTAAATGAGAATCAAGACTTGCCATGTAAAGGTACATGATCCCAACAATGAATGTAACTGTACTGAAAAAAAAAAAAAAAAAAAAAAAAAAAAAAATTAAAGCTTTTGGGGGAGAATACCATGTTATTTCAGTGTAGTAAGTAGTTGTCATAGTTATGTGGACCTTTTGTTTTTAGTTTCTAGGGATGACCTCATTTCGAAGCTGCTTGAAGAAAACAAGGTAGGTTTTCAGGTTCTAGAGTACAGAAGTGATCTTTCGTCTCTTTATTAGTAGTAGTATCATTTTCTTATTTGTGTTGGTTTGCAATGCTTGGGATTCTCCCAACAGCTTTAGAAAAAAAAGTTTTCTATAAATAACTTCTATACTCGGGCTGATAGTAGGTATTAAAAAGTAATCATTTCAGGGCTGGGGATTTAGTGCAGTGGTTCTGCTGCCTACCTTGCAAGCACAAGGACCTGAGTTCGATCCCTGGTACCAAAAAAAAAAAAAAAAAATGTTGTAATTTCATGCAGGTTATTATAGTTTGAAAATGTGAGGAAAAATCAGATATTTGTGTTTTCTTGATTATAAATTATTAAAAGAAATTTTAGTGAAACGTAAGACACAGCTACATATCAGTAGTGGCTGCACCATAGTGTCTGTGTATTTAATGCCACTAAATTGTACCCTTAAAAAATAGTTAGGATGTTAAGTTGTGTAGTTTATCTTACCACAGTTTAAGAAATGAATGGGGTTTGGGGCACACCCTATAAACCCACCACCCTAGGAGGCCAAGGCAGGAGTTTGAGCCTACCCTGGGCAACTTTGCAAGTTAGTGAGATCCTGTCTCAAAATTTAAAAAATTGAAAGAGGGAGAGGGAAGCAGCTAGTGTGAAGGCTCTGGGTTTAATCACCACTACTGCCAAAATTAAAAAAAAAATATGTCTATAGAACTACTTTATACCTTAATGCATTTTGCAGTGGAATAATTTTTGTGGTTGCTGTCTCATCCTGTCTTGGTGATGTGTATCTTTCTTGAGCAGCACCTGGTGGGAGAATAGAAAAGTGGTTTTCTCTGTAAGAAGAGAATTTACACCCTACCCTTGCCCATCTCCCTAGATTGCCCTTAAGGAAAGCCCGGCCCACATCCCATCACTGTCACCACCTCAGGGAACTAGTTTTGTTTTGTTTTTTGCAGACCATAGGTGCTTTCTTCAGCTGCACCCCAGGTACCCTGTCTTCATTACAACTTTAAAAGATCTGTGAATGTGTTCATTTGAGACCACAAGCTCTACTGCTGATAGGAAGAAATGTGTATGTAATATAAATATTTACCTCAGAGAGTAGAGCTTTCATGATAGGAAGATACTAGTAATATTTAGGTTATGTCAGGCATATTCTTTCTCATCAGGACCCTAATGTCAGAATAGATTAATGAGTTTTTAAACAGACTGTATTTTTAGAGCAGTTTTAGATTCAGAGCAAAATGTACACAGCCAAAGGCACGTGGATTTCCTGCACTACCCCTGCTGCTCCATGTGCAGTAAGCACCTGTCCGGTGGGTGCTGTGTGACAGTCGAGTCCACACAGACCACACGGATGCATCGTCATCCAAGTCTGCGGTTGACATCAGGCCTCCCTCTTGGCGCTTCCATTCCATGGGCTTGGACACATCCACAGCAACACACAGCTCTACGACAGTGTCATACTGAGTACTTTCACCACCCCAACCCCATGTTCGCCTGTCTGTCCTCACCCCGCTGCCCTGGCACCACTGGTGCTTCCGCTGTCTCCTTAGCTTCATCTCTCCCAGAATGGCATGTGCTTAGAATCATACGGCACACATAGAATATTTAGACGGCTTTTCTCAGATCAGAATCATTAAGGTGACTTCTCTGTGTGTAGCTTGATAGCTCCTTTCTCTTTGGTGCTGAGTAGTATTCCATTGTTTGGATGTTCTGCAGTGTGTCTCAGCCTGTTGAAGGTCATCTTGATTGCTTTTAAGTTTTGGCAATTATGATTAAACTGCTGTGAATGTCTGTGTGAAGATTTGTGTGGAGATAAGTTTCCAGTTCCTTTGGGTAAATATCAGAGAGCACAATTGCTGGATCATATGCTACTAATATTTTTAGTTCTCTTGACACTGCACACTTTATCATCCAGAGCTTCTCCTCATTCTGCAATCCCACCAGCAATTTCTGAGAGTGACTGTTACTTGCACGTCCTCACCTGAGTTTGGTGTGGTCCCTGTTCAGGGTTTTGGCCATTCTGATAGGTGTTGAGTGGTATCTTGTTGTTGTCTATAAATGATTTAGAAATGAAGAGAAGTTTGGGAGTTAAAGATACTAAGATTTTTAAAAATTTCTTATGAGGTGAACATACAGCTTGTGTCATTAGAACTTGGTACCAGCAAGAAGGTAGATAGGTATTTTATGGAGATACATATAATACATATGTGAAAAAGAGAGTAATTATTTTTTCCCACTAGAGTATGCAGATGTCTTTCAACAAGGAACATAAAGAAAATGCATATTTGAGGTCTGAAATATTATCCCTTCATCAAGCATTAGGAAAAGCACAGGTAAATCTTCACTATTTCTCTGGTTTTTAGATGTTACTTTTGTTCAATTAAAGAACCAAAATTAGGGCCAGGGAATTAGCTCAGTGGTACCACTGTCTGCCTCACAAGTACAAGGTCCTAAGTTCAATCCCCAGTACCAAAAAGAACCAAAATTACTCCTGATTATAAACTCACACTATTCCTATCATCAACTTTATTTCCACAAGGTCTAAATCATCTGTGAAACATTATCAAATTAGGTGCACCTCTCATTTCATTTTTCAGATTCCTATGACACAATGGTATATATTACTAAATAGTATATATTACTAAGTCATACACTAGTTTACACCTTGCCTTTGTTTGCTTTGTAATTAGTCATTGAGTATATACCTCCCCAGACCCTGACAGTTAACTGTTCTCTTAGTTACTTTTCAATCATTGCTGAGACTAAATACTGGACACCCAAAGTTAAAGGAGTAAGGTTTATTTAGCTCACAGTTGGTAGCAGTTTCAGTCCATAAATGGCTGCTTCACGGCAGAGGCCACACGGCAGAGGGGCAACAGTTCATGGCAGCAGAAGACAGCAAAAGCAACAAGAGACCTTGGCATTGCCTCCTGCCCTTGTTCTCTTACCCAGACTACTGGGATTAGAATCAGAGGACTGGTTTAGTCATCACATGCCCTTAATCCTAGCATCACATACTCTAGAATTCAGCCACCTCTGAAAAAGTTATGTGTGACTGCCTGAGGCCCCAGGGGACACTGAGACCCAAACTGTAACAGCTTCTAAGCAGTTCAGTGGCAAGAGCTCTCTTACATTCTTTTTTTGTACCTTCTATAGCAAATAGCACAATGGGAACCTAATAAATGTCCTGGATTTTGGAGATGAGTATAATCATTTTCTGTGGGATGGTGGTTCCCGAATTTAGTTGATCCTTTATATTAGTACATACATGTGTCATGGTCACCACATAGGTAGCTGTACTGAAGTTATATATCACAGAGCCCAGTAAATCAGTGTCTATCCCTTAAAAATAACTTTTCTGTTGGTACAATGTGATAATAACAATGTTAGAATAATAGTGCTGCTGTGCTTTCTTTATAATAAAATCCAAAATAAATGTCTTTTTGTAAAATAACTTCTATTCTCCCTATACTAATACTAGTTAACACTTTTACTATATCCATTACACATTCCAAGCTGTTCTAAGTACCTTGTATTAATAACTGTGAATTTAATTTTTTATTATTTGTGTGTGTTTTTCTTTTCTTTTCTTTTCTTTTCTTTTCTTTTCTTTTCTTTTCTTTTTTTTTTTTTGATACCAAGGATTGAACTCCACAAGGCAGGCAGTGAAACCACTGAGCTAAATCCCCGGCCCTTATTTGTGTATGTTTATGATACCTAATGGCTACATTTGTTTTGGGGAGTTGGTACATGTGTATGTATATCATATCCCATTCCTCTCCCACTCCAAACCTTCCCTCCTTTCTACAAAGCCCGACTTTCTGTTTCCTGTCATCTCTTCTTTACCGTATTTTTCTCTTTACTCATATTGTTTTTCTCATATAGAGAAACTACAATATTTCACTTTCTGGGTCTGACTTTGTAACATTATAGTCTTAAGTTCCATCCATTTCTGTGCAACTGGTGTGAATTAATTCTTCTATATGGCTGAATAATAATCCGTTGTGTATGTATTTTCTTTATCTGTTTTTCTGTTGATGGACATCTAGGCTGACTCCAGGGTTAACCTCTTGTGGCTTGCGCTACTGTAAACGTGGATATGCTTGCGTCGGTACAGTTTGAAATCTTTAACTCTAGAAATATATCTAAGAGAAGAGAGCTGGGGTAAATGGAATTCTAGTTTTAGTTTCTTTTTTTTGGTACCGGGAATCGAACTCGGGTCCTTGCGCTTGCGAGGCAGGCCACCGAACCGCTGAGCTAAATCCCCGGCCCTAGTTTTAGTTTCTTGAGGAATCTCTGCACTGATAATCTGTAGTGGTTGTACTAGTTTACATTCCTACCAACAGTGTAGAAGAGTTCCTTTTCTACCATATCCTTACCAGCACTGTTTTTTTTGTGTTCTTGGAAGCCATTCTGACTGGGCTAAGATGGAGTCTCAAGAGTTGTTTTGATTTGCATTTCCCTGAAGACCAAAGATGATGATGGACACATTTTTTTGCATTAAGTTTATTCATACATTTTAGGTATACAGTATGCTGACATTTGTCATTGGGAACTTGTACCTTTATATGACTTGTCTTCGTTCTTATTTTCTCCCCATTCCCCTGCCCTCCCATCAACTCCTCCACCCCTCCCTCTTTACAAACACTTTGTTTCCGTTTTTTCTTTTTCTTGTGTTTATTCCTTTCCTTTCTTCCCTTTCCCCAACCCTTCCCACTGCCCCTTCCCCTTCCCCTTTAAACCTTTTTTCCCTCTTTCACATTATCTGTTAATACATCTTGATCCTCATTTACACTTTCAGTTTCTCACACCAGAGAAACTATTTGGTATTAACATGGGTGTCTTGTTTCTTTCACTTAAGAGCATCGCTTCAATATGTATCCATTTAGCTATAAATGACTCTAGTTTATTATTCTTTATGGCTGAGTAGTATTCCATTTTATAAAACAAAACAAAACACATTTTCTTTATCCAGTCACCAGTTGATGGGCATTTGGGCTGTTTCCAAGATTTAGCTATTATGTGTCACTGTGGTGATTCTTTTAATTGTTTTGGGAATATACGCCGTGTGGGATTAGCTGGGTCAAATGGGAACTTCTAGTCCTAGTTCTTTGAGGTGTCTTCATACTGATTCCCATAGTGGTTGCACAAGTCTGCACTCCCACCATTAGTGGAAAAGGGTTCCTTTCTCCCCACAACCCCACCATCATTTGTTATTGCTTGATTTCTTGATAGCAGCCATTCTTTCTGGGGTGAGGTGGAATCTCAGTGTTGTTTTCATCTGCATCTCTTGAATGACCAGTAATGTTGAACATTTTTTCATATGTTTATTTGCTGCTTCTACTTGTTTGTCTAAGAAATGTCTGTTCATTTCAGTTGATCATTTTTGAATTGGGCCTCTAAATTTTGGGGTGTAATTTTTTAAAAAATTCTCTATATATTCTAGATAGTCCCTCTGAGGCAGATGGTGGCATTACTGAGCTAAATCCCAAGCCCCCTTATTCTAGATAGTAGTCCTTTGTCTGAGGAACATCTAGTAAAACATTTTTCCTATACTTATTTGCCAAATGTGCTTTTATGTAGTTCATTTGCCTGTTTTTTGATTGGGTCGTTTGTCTTGGGAGAGTTAACTTTTTTAGTTCTCTTAGATACATATTATAGTCCTCTATTGCAGGAGTAGTTGGAAAACTTTTTTTCCATTCTGTAGATTGTCTCTTCACTCTTGAGCATTTCCTTTGCTGTGCTGAATTTTTTTAATTTGATGCAATCTCATTTGTTCATTCTTGATTTTATTTCCTATGCTAATCGAGTTCTGTTTATTAAGTCCTCGCCTGTGCCTATTGGTTCCAGTGTTTTCCTTGTGTTATCTTTCAGCAGTTTCAAAATTTGTTCTTATATATCTAGCTCTTTGATTCATTGACTTGATTTTAGTACAGGGTGAGATTTAAGGATCTAGTTTCAATCTCCTGCATATGGATAATCAAGTTTTCCCAAAACCACTTGTTGAAGAGATTAGCTTTTCTCCACCATAAGTGCTTGCTCCCTTTGTCAAAAATCCGATGGCTAGCCAGGCATGGTGGCACACGCCTATAATCCCAGCACTTGGGAGGTTGAGGCAGGAGGATCACTGTGAGTTTGAGACCAGCCTGGGCAACATAGTGCATTCCAGGGCAGTCTCAACTATACAGGGAGACCCTGTCTCAAAAAACAAAACAAATTAAAAAAAAATCAGTTGGCTAAAGGTGAATGGGGTTGTTTCTGTGTCTTTTATTCTGTTCCATCAGGCTATACATGTATTTTTGTACCTGTACTTTACTATTTTTGTTAACTATCACTATGTGAGTATAACTTAAAATCTGTAATCATAATGTCTTCTGCTTTGCTTCTTTGCTCAGGACTGCTTTGGCTATTCCACGCCTCTTATGGTTCCATATACATATTACAAATGTTTTTGACCATTCTCTGAAAAAGTTGATGGTATTTTAATAGGGATGTATTAAGTCTGTGTATTGCTTTTGGTAATATGGCCATTTTAACAGTAATAATTTTGCCTACCCAGAAGCAGAGGGTGTCTTTCCATTTTCTAACATCCTAGTCAATCTCTTTCTTCACAGTTCTATAGTTTTCATTATGAAGGCCCTTTACCTCTTTGGTTACATTGATTCCTAATTTGATTTTTTTAAAAACTATCATGAATGGAATTGTTTCCCGATTTCCTTCTTAATGGGTTCATTATTAGAATCTAGCACTTGAATCCTCTTTTTTCAACTGTGTTTCCAGTGAGGTTTATTCTTTCCTTTGGATGCTTGTGGGTTCTTGACCTCCTTGTCTCTTTAGTGTTTTCTTCAATGTTGGTTTGGTGGTCATTAATTTCTTTATTTTATTTCTCCATCAATTTTGAAGGATAACTTTGCATGGTATAGTAATTTAGATTGGCAGTATTTTCTCTTAGGGCTTGAAAAACTTCAAGTTCTCCTGACTTTTGTGGTTTATGTTTGCCCTTTTATGTAACATTGATACTTTTCTCTAGTAATGCTCTTTGTTCTGAGTTTCTGGAATTTTGACTATGATGTGTTGTGGCAAGGTTCTTTCCTGGTCGTGTCTATTTGGTATTCTAAATGCCTTATTTACCTGGGAATCCTTCTCATTCCCCTGGTTTGGAAGTTGTGCAATAATTTCCATGAAGGAATGTTTTATGCCATGAGTTTGGTCTTCTTCATCTTCAATTGCAGTAATCCTTAAGTTTTTCTTTGAAAGTCCACTAAGGGCTCTTGGATCATCTGATTGTCTCTTGCTTTTTTCATTATTGCTGAGTAAATATTCTACTTTATTGACCTCATGCTCAGGTCCTGAGGACATGTCTTTTCACTGAGCTTGCCTGCTTCCAAAACTTGGAATTGAGTTTTTCATTTCCAAGGTTTCTGCTTGATTCCTTTTCATAATCCCTTTACCCATAAGGTTCTTCATATCTTGAACTAGCTTCCTTAATCATTCAGCTGCTCATTTGCATCTTCTTTAAACTCATTGATGATCATATTGATTGATTCACTCTGTTGTTTACTTATATCTTCAAGTTCATTGAACATCTTAGTGCTTGCTTCATTCAGCTGCTTACTTGTCTCTTTTTTTATTCCATCGGTCATTTTAGCTATTAGTTTTTTGTGTTTTTATCTGGAAATTCATTCACTTAAGTGCCTGTGAGCTTTTTGGGAGTTAGGAATTTTTGTAATTATCTTGTTGCCTTATATTCTCACTTATATGTTTTTTTGTTGAAGGCTGTAGAGGAGTCTGTGTATAAAGCTGTTTTGGTATTGTGGAGATGTCTTTAGAAAGTGCCTTTCTCCCTATATTGTGTCTTAGGCTTTGGGATTTGCAGTTGCGATTTGGGATTTGTGAGGAGAGAACTACTACTGGTTACATCAAGGTCTACAGACCCAACCATATATCAACATCTAACTTAAAACTTGTTTTTAAAGTTCTCAACTCTTTCAATACCCAGAAATACAAAACATAGAACTGATGAAGAATAAGCTGGGAAATGAATATGAAAGAAAAAGGAAGAAGATAAAAAGGAAAGATAAGAAAAAAGATAAAAGAGAATGAAAAAATGTTTTAATGATACTATTTTTTAATCTGAAACAAGGAGGGAGAAGAAGAGGTCTGATAGGCTATGTTTGGGAGCAGCAAGAAGGAAGAAAAATAGCTGCTAATTAAGATGGATTTTTTCAGAAGACAAATTTCAAAATATCAAAGAGAGGGCCAGGGATTTAGCTCAGTGGTGCTGCCGCCTCCCTCACAAGTGCAAGGTCCTGAGTTGGATCTTTGGTACCAAAAAAAGAGAGAGAGAATTAACTAGTTATAATAGTAAAATAATTTATATTTTGCTATCATAAATGCTAAAGAGAATTAACTGATAGTAAAATAATTTATGCTATTATAAATACTATTGGTGGTGAAGGAACTAAGACATTTTGTGTGATCAGCTAAATAATTTTGAGTGTTCATGATGTAGTTTTGGAAATCAATTTCTGCAGTATCAGCTAGGCGCTCACCTTATAAGTTCCATTCTACAAATGCCTCACTCTAGTTCACCTGTGTTCATAATTGTGAAGAACAGATCAGTAAAATGCCAAGTGCCTCAGTTGCTCCTCCAATCAGTGTCTCCTTTTAACTTAGAACTTTGTAGGATATTTACTCCAAACATCGAATGCACTGTATAAACTAATGAAATATGAATTGGGCACAGGTTAAATAAATTAAGTTTACATACACAGTGACATAAGTGAAACCCTTCTTCATCAGCGAGACTGACTTGCTGCGATGTTGTTCCAGGGCTTGAATGACCAGCTGACCAGGAAGTGTTCCAAGCTAAGCAGTATGCTTCAGACTGCTGGCGTGGAAAAGGCCAGGCTGGTCGCTGACCACCAGGCCATGCTGCAGGTACTGACTCGGCTCTAGTGAGCTTCTGATAGGGGCAGCGGGAAGCCAGGCTGGCCAGGGCGTCAGGAAATGTGCACAGCCAACTGGACAAATAAAACGTTTGAACAACAGATTCCAGACCTTACTGAATTATTTTATTTCTTGATTAGTAGTTTTCATTAGTCATCAGAGGAGTATTTATTTGGCCTTACATTCAGTGGTTTTTAATGGTTTCTTCTCAAATATTACGTTAGGAAAAATAGCTGCCTGTCCTGTTGTTTACAGAATCACTTAATTAACTGTAAAGCATTACCATCTCCCAAATACCTTGGGACTTCCCACTTTGCTCCTACCACCCTCTCTGCTGAGATCTTCACTACTTGAAGTTCTGTTTGTGAGGACTGACACTGATTAGGGAGCTTCATCTTCTTAGCCATGGGGATGTTTGCCTTTTCAGGTTCTCTTCCTTGGACACTAACGACTATCATAATAATAGCTCTGTGTGTTTGTAGCATGTGCCATCCGTTGTGCTAAGGATTTTACATATGTCACCTCCTCTAACACATTTGCACTGGCTTGAACCCCTGGAGGCACCTGCATGGCTGTCCAGTTGGGCCACATGGGACCCTTCCATTGGATGGAACAAGCTGCCCAGGGGGATGGTCATGCATGTCCCCTGGCGGTTCAGAGCTACCTGCCAGCGAGATAGATGAGTTACAGCTCTGTTGGGAATGTGTTAATCATAACAGCTGCTACATGAAAGGGTGTTTATTGTCCTCATTTTACCAATAAGAATGAAGTTTGAAGATGTTTGTAACCTACCCAAAGTCACCTAGCTAGTGAGGAGGACGCCTGGGTCTCACCTAGGTCTGAGCCAGGGTGGTGACATGTGCTGGGTGTCCCAACTACTCAGAAGCCCGAGAAGGTGAATCACTGAGTTCGGGAGTTCATATTGACCCCCCGCTCGGAAAATGAAGCACGAACAAAATGACAGAAAACAAGCTTAGTCTGATCCCAGAGTCATTGTTTTTCAGTCTTTCCATTGTGCTGCCCCCTGTCGTGTGTTGTCTAATAATGATGTTCATGATTTATTTCATGTCTTAAACTGATCTCCTAGAAGCAAAGTTACTGCCTTATGTGCCTGTTATTTCCTCACTGTGCTAAATGTGTTTCATGTGTAAAAATACTCAATACCTTTTCATTAATTCAACAGTGTTTATTCTGTGTGAGTATGATACTAGATAAAATTATAGGTGAGACAAAAATCCCTACATTTATGTACTTAAAGGATAATGTAATATGTCACACTCTCACAAATATTTCAAAATTTTGAGATAGAACACAATTTAGGATCCCATTTTACCAAGTGTAAGGCTTTGTTTTGCAATCAAAATATCATTAAAATAGAAGCATTTTAAAATACATTTGCAAAAGTAACTTAATATGTATGTTTGCAAAATCTTCTAAGATTGTAGGTGAAGGTTTTGTGTGTGTGTGTGTGTGTGTGTGTGTGTGTGTGTGTGTGTGTGTAAATGTTGTCTCAAAAAATAAAAAAGCTGAAGTTGTAGTTCAGTAGGAAGGGCCTGGGTTCAGACATCAGTACTGAAAAAAAAAGTTGTTTTGGTAACTCCAAAACGATGACCCAGAGAAAATAAAATTGTGGAAAACATTTATAATGCTATTGCCACAACTGAAACTGAGTACAACTTAAGATATTCTCAAGATAATTCATTGTTAAACTATTAAATGATTAACCCTAGAGAGTGGGATTGTTTGGAGGGTGGGGAAGATAGAGGTGAAGAGATCTTTTCACCTGATATTTAGATACATTTAGATTGTTTTACCTTTTAAAATGATCATATTGAAATCTTAGTATACCAAAAATATTCTTAATATGATTTTTAATTTTTAAGAATATATTCATATCAGGAGCGTTACAAAAATTTCATCATCCTGGGTGAATAATACCTCTTGACCCTTGGCCAGTGGAACTATAAAATGATACTGTTGAATCAACTCAGGCTGGAACAAAGAGAAAAGCATTAGAATAAATTTTACAGAAATGAAGCTCGTGTTTTACAAGTCAGTTCGGTCACTCTGAGCCGCACTGTATCGGCTTTCTCTTCCCCTGGCGCTCAGGTGGAGCAGCAGATGATTTCGCGGACGCTTCAGGAGCAGAGCCTCCTGCTGGATGCGGCCCACGGCACCAGGAGAGCTGCAGGCTGTTCAGGAAGAGAAAACCCAGCTCCAGGCGCATCTGTAAGTGCAGCACGGTGGCTATGCGTGCGTTTGTGTTTCTCTCCTTTGATGAAAACGTTTATCCCCCATCAGCTGGGCCAGCACAGAGATAAAGATTCTGCCTTCGAGGAGCTGGCTTGATAGAACATTCATACCTGTTCTCAGTAGGAGTTGGTCATGCATTCTAAAACAACACTGAATCACTCCTCCTGCTAAATCAGAGCTCTCATCTGACTTTCATGTTGTCTGACTTTTCTCCTGAAGGAACCATTTAGCCCTTGAGCATAACCAGTGTGTGCAGAGAGCCAGGATGCCGAGCAGAGGACGGCTGTGCAGAAGGAGCTTCTGGAGTCAACCATCGCGAGACTGCGAGGCGAAGTGGACGCATCGGTGCAAGAGAAGTCCCTGCTGGAGGAGAACGAAAGGTTTCGGAGACGGGTGGGTAGAAGCAGATTCCCACTGCCGCCTCCTCACGGAGCGATGGTGATGTTGCAAAATTGTACTCTAAGTGCAGTTTCAAGACCAGAAATTGAACCAGATGCAGTTTGTCCGAGTTTCCCCTTAAAGAAATCCTAGTGGCTAACGTGTCCCCTGGAGCCTGGGAAGCAGTCTGTGACGAATAGAACAATGCACACAGCACCGGTGAGTGTCAGCAGATAATTCACACATCCTCCTGTTAGGTAAGGGTCGCGTTTGGAAAGTTGACATCCTCTGGAGGGGGAATGGTGGAGATTAGGGGCGCAGCCAGGTCTTCCTAGCTATGCGGGAGTCGACATCCTCTGGAGGGGGAATGGTGGAGATTAGGGGCGCAGCCAGGTCTTCCTAGCTATGCGGGAGTCTGCCACGCAGAGATGGCTTTCTGGTTTCTGTTCGTGCTTCCTGTTCACCTCAGATGCCTACCTGGCCCCTCTTCCGGGCGGAGTGCAAGGGGGTGCCGTGTAGGTACAAAAGCCACACAGGCTGTGTGTGCTCCAGGAGAGCCTGTCAGCCGCTGTGAACCTGACCTATTGCTTTCTCTCTCTCTCCGGCAGGCTAACAAGACAGAAAAAGAAATAACACAAGAAAAATGCGCTTTGGAAAAGGAGTTAGCTAAAAATAAGGTATCTCGCATTTTATTTGTTGATGTTCACTATGTTTTATTTCCCTCTGTGTCGCTGCCTGCTGTGGGTGATTTTGCTGTTGTGGGGCCATAAATCTGATGCCCCTTTGGAGCTTTTGGGCACCTCAGTGGAAGGCAGCTTCCGCGCCATTGTGGGGGAGTTGTGGGGTCACAGGGAATCCCTGCTGCCCACTGAGGATGTCAGTCAGGAAGCCTGAGCAGGAGCGGGGGGCTGGGGGAGCAGAGTGATGCTTTCTGACACTGCTCTTTTAAAAAACAAAAATGATTTCAACCAAGCATGGGTACATTTGTGCCTGTAATCCCAGCTACCTGGGCAGCTGAGGCCGGATAATCATAAGTTCAAGGGCAGCCAGGACAACTCAGCTAGACTCTGACTCTACAAAAGAGTGTAAGACTGCAGATGTAGGTTGGTGGTAGAGTTACCCTAGGCTTGGACCCCAGTACTGAGGTCAGGGGACTTTCAAGCTTCCTAAGTGCGCATAAGCACCTGCTGCCTGATCTCAGAGGTAAACTTTTCTCTTTTATAATTTTTTAGAAACTAAGACATATTTGTACATTTGGGGGTGCACTGTGAAAACTCCATACAATGTGATGATCAAATGAGGGTAATAAACACTTCGCTCTCTTCTCATGAGTCATGTTAGGTGCTTGGAAAGCTGGGTCTTCTCTAGACATTTGGAAATACAGTTTGTTGTTGTTGTTGTTGTTGTTCTTTTTTAACCAGTAGCTTTCCTTACCCCACTCTAGAAAGCTCTAGGATGCTCATTGTGTTTTGGAGCCTTTATAACTGCTGTCCACCTCCTCTTCCCTGTATCTTTGGACCACTCTGTTTTTCTCGCAGGGAGAACATGTGGGACTTGCCTCATGTACTCTGGTTGATTTCATTTGACATAATGAACTCCAGTTCCATCCATGTTACTGCAAATGGTAGGACGTCATTCTCTTCATGGCTGTGCTGATGTACCATACTTTCTTTATCATCTGCTCCACTGCTGAGTATCTGGGCTGATCCCACGCCTCACTAATTTGAACAATACAGTAATAAACACGGAGGCGCAGGATGCTCTGGTGTAATGATCTCTTCCCTCCTGGACATGTGTCCAGTGGTGGAATCACTTCTATTTTCAGTTTTCACAATAACTTTCATATTTTTAGTTTTCAGAAGAAGGTTCATACTCTTTTCCATAACAGTACCAATTTACATTCCCATCAATGGTGTTTAAGGGTTCTCTTTTCTCTGTATCCTTGCCATTGCTTTTTTTTTTTTTTTTTTTTTTTTTTTTTTTTTT